TGTATGTGTATGTTCGAAAAAGACTCGTCTGTTATTATTCTTGAATTGTATTTTAGCCGATGAATCACAGTTTCAAAAAACTAATAAAATACGTAGTGTACATAATATACACTCCCAATGTCGATCTTCACTAAAGTTGGGCCCCATGTAAGTTTCGCTTCTCGTTAAAACTTTCTGAATGCCAATACAATACGAATGGCGCGAAATCTGCATGCAATTTTAGTCGGCGTGACAGGGAGTTGGTCAATGTGTAACCCTAGCAGAATGTAGCGATCACGTTACAACGATCAACAAGCTGGGAAAACCGTGAAATCTTGACAGTGTGTCTGCGGTTTTACTGGTGGGCTATACCATTTTACTGCATGGGGCCATTTCCCATGGTGGGGCACACATGTGCTATTCAAATACGTTTAAACTCCAGTATTATATGTCTTGTTCTGTATTTTATTTAGTTTTTCGTCAATCCAATCAAAGGCTCACATACAAGTCATTATAAGTGTCCAGAACATGTCGAACAATACGTCTGTAAAACCCTTTCTAAGTTGGCCAGGGGTCAAGTTTTAAGACCGGAAGTAAGGAATTGTTTGACAAACTGTCAATGACGTCATTCACCACGTGCGTAGCACAGTGACGTTTACAGTCCATTGCGCTTGATTTCATCGTTTTCACCGCGGCCCAGTCACGCCATGTCATCTGTACTAAAATCATACTTGTACATAAGATATTCTTGTAATCGTTTTTTTTATTCAAAAAGGGAAAAGCGAAAACGACCAACATCGTCACCCCACTATTTTAGCATGTTTCCACCACATGTAATAAAGTCCGGGCATTATATTCAAGATGAATATAAAAACTCATCTTTTTAGACAACCGTGAAACTTTTAATACGTATTTTTTGTAGTATTTCTTTTATTTAATATTTCGTTACTATTACAGTGGAAATCACATGTGGACAGTTATTTCTAGATTTGTGATTACATGTTTTCAACGTGGATGTACCATAATGTTTTTGTTTTTTTACAAACAAAGACGATATAAATTACATCAATTGAACATTTCTGTACATCATTGGTGAAACCACGACTTGTTTCATGTTGTACATATTTTTTGTTTTAACCGAATCGTGGGAAAATCGTAGCTATGACAATTAATTTAGAAAGTATATAATTAAGCGGAGTGAGCATGTTGTTTTGAATGCCGATGGATAGGAGCATAACAAAAGTGTTCGAAGCACTTACATTAGCATAATCAAAGCCGCAGTATGGATAGGGTCAAGTAATGTGAACTGCGAGGTTAAAAACACGCATTGATTTGTGTTTGTACGTGCGATCACGTGACGAAGTGCCGATACAACGGACTAAGTGTACGGGAATTTATTGGCTGGCTTTTATGTGGGTTGATTTATTCTGCTCCATAATAGAGTATTGTTAGCGTTCGGTATTCATATGCTAACGAAGCCATTTGTTTGGACTCTGATCCAGCCACGAGGTCCGGAGCGATCTATACAGTGGAACAGCGCACTGAACTCTTTAGAACGGGTTGCATTGAATTTACCATTGCTTCGACCTAAAACTCACGCTGTGGTAAAAGAGTTTTCTCGACAACTGATGATTTAGGGAGACATGCATGTGATCTAGGATCGGAAACAGTTCACGGGGAGACATTGATTACATTGTATTTACTTTATAATTTCACTTTATAAATCTGATTATTTTGGGTATATATCACTTCTTCAAGACATTCATCATGCATTTAGACCAAAAAAAGACATGGACAAAATTGTGGTTATAATTAAATTGAACACATTACGCTAAACACTGGAAACCAGGGTATAATATGGATAGGGACACTCCCAGGTTTCATCCCAACTTTCAAATATTGTGAATAGAGCGATAATGACTGTTTCGCATACAGATAATTAATTGTAAAAGCCTCATTACAAATTCCCTGAAACTGTCAACAGGACGACAATAACCCCGTGGAATAGTATTGATATGTGCATGGGAACGCCGGGAACGCTTCCATCGAGTAAATTAACCATTGTTTCTTTGGGGGACGATTTGAAAGGCACGCCTGAGAACCGCAGCGTTTGTAAAGAAAACCAAGAAGAAAAGAAAATCACGTGATACAGACGACAGATAGCTGTAAACAAGTCAACCCCTTTCAAGCACTGCAGCGTTTTTTATAAGAAGTTTAATACATGCCCCAAACACTTTTCCTATCTTTAAGTTGCTCACAACACTTTTACATTGTATAGTACATACACGTTGTATAGAACGAATTTGAACGCACCGAACTGATCAGAAGGAAGTTCAATACGTTGCGTAGACATCCATAGAAATTGCTGCAGTGGAGCTAGTCAGCACACTGGCGATGATTAAACACGTAATTATGAGTGTCCACCAAGCATGTCAAATTACACCAACAATGGGAATAATAGTAATTCTGATCACATCAATAGTCGACTGTGAATGCATACTAAAAAAACCCAGCGTGGGAGAACTATCAGTTTCGCGTCCAGTTTAGAAATACTGATACTCCGTTTCCTTTGGCCAACTCGTATGACACACAGTAAATTTCCTCAAGTTCGCAGAAAACACGTGCATGCCATCGCTCTGCAATTTGTGGATTTTAAGACCGTACTCCCCAATTGACAGGCATAAATGCACATTGAGAGTGTGACCGGAATCATTAAAGAGGGTCCGACTTGAGTGATAAATAAGGCCAATATCACCTTGAAAGGGGACATTGGTATCTTATCAACACAACAGTATTAACGAGTATTTTACCTTGATGGCCATAAAGGTGAATTCTGTGTCAGTGCATTACACGTGTACATTTAAGATTGCTGTGCACACTACAACACGAATACATTAACACAAGTTTACACTAAAATTACCATGCATTTTCCCCTTATGGTCGAAGCAAAGCCATCTCCATTTCTAAAGAGAGAGAAAAAAAAACTTTCTCGTTTCGAGATAAGGTCTGTCTTTACATTACAGTCTTTTTAAAACAAACACACGCAACTTAGAATGACAATTCGCGAACTAGATCTCATATGAATATGACCAAGTCCCATCATGCAACACTTTCCAGCCAGTTTTCAGAGACCCGAGCGTATAACTGACTTATGTTTACATTTACCAGTAATAACCATTTAAGGTTTAACACGATTAATTGATTTAAAAAAAAAAACACTTTGAGTGATTGGTACCAGCAATAATATATTTTTCGCATTTCTCTCTTAGTAACTCTTAATTACATTAAAACACAACAAAATTAACGTCCATAGTTTATCCAGTTCATCCACTTCTAAATGCCAATGTCACCATTCTTTGTTTTCATGCCAATGTCACCATTCCTTGTTTTCATGCCGAAGTCACCATTCCTTGTTTTCATGCCAATGTCACCATTCCTTGTTTTAATGCCAATGTCGACATTCTCGGTTTTAGTGCCAATGTCAACATTCCTTGTTTTCATGCCAATGTCACCATTCCTTGTTTTCATGCCAATGTCAACATTCCTTGTTTTAGTGCCAATGTCGACATTCTCCGTTCTAGTGCCAATGTCACCATTCCCTGTTTTAATGTCAATACCACCTATCATTGTTTTAGTGCCAATGTCACCATTTCTTGTTTTAGTGCCAATGTCACCATTCCTTGTTTTAGTGCCAATGTCAAGATTCCCTGTTTTTGTTCAAATACCACCTATCATTGTTTTAGTGCCAATGTCATCATTCCTTGTTTAATGCCAATGTCACATTCCTTGTTTTAGTGACAATGTCACCATTCCGTTTTAGTGCCAATGTTACCATTCCTTGTATTAGTTACAATGTCACATTCCTTGTTTTAGTGCAAATGTCACCATTCCGTGTTTTAATGCCAATGTTACCATTCCTTGTTTTAGTGCCAATGTTACCATTTCTTGTTTTAGTTCCGATGTCACATTCCTTGTTTTAGTGCAAATGTCACCATTCCTTGTTTTAATGCCAATGTTACCATTCCTTGTTTTAGTGCCAATGTTACCATTTCTTGTTTTAGTTCCGATGTCACATTCCTTGTTTTAGTGCAAATGTCACCATTCCTTGTTTTAATGCCAATGTTACCATTCCTTGTTTTAGTGCCAATGTTACCATTTCTTGTTTTAGTTCCGATGTCACATTCCTTGTTTTAGTGACAATGTCACCATTCCGT